CCCGTGAGCCATGGCCGCTGAGCCTGCGCGTCCGGAGCCTGTGCTCCGCAACGGGAGAGGCCACAAAAGTGAGAGACGCGCGCACAAGAGAAAAAAAAAAAAAAAAAAATATATATATATATATATATATATATATATATAACACAACTATTACTACCACCAGGCAGTATGCTTCTTTGCTCATGCATCTCTTCTTTCTCTTCCTCCAGACTTTATAGTTTTCTTTTTCTCTTTCCCTGCTCTTTCTTCTTTCTCAGTTCAGTTTTCCTGCCTCTCTTTTTCTTTCTCACCCATAAATAGGATAAAAAAAAAGCAAATGTTGAGTTTCCTGACTGGTCACATTCCAGAGAAAGGAGGAAATACAGGCTGTTATACAACTGGGAGGGGTCAGGTGTGACCTAAAGTTGAGGGACGAGGAGAAGAGAATTATAAAGGTAAGAGAAGGCAAAAAGGTTAAGTAAAGGTTTGATTTTAGACTTTTATTACGTAAAGTGATTCTTTTGTGAATCCCATCTAGGGCATTTCATCCTTCTCAGGCTATGATGGTTCCCAGTAGATCCAAAATTGCCAAAGAAGGTCGGTAATGATGTATTCAAAGATGATCACTCTCATCAGCTTTTGTACAAAAGAATCAGTACCCGATATCGTGTTAGAGTGAGCCATAGGAAATGCCTTAGGAATTGTCTCTGATGAAGTCTTTTTTTTTCAATCACCAGTATGTGAAAAGCTATTAGATCTATTTTTAATCTTTCTCCTATTCAGTTTCCAATGTTGCTCTCAGGCTTCTGTAACTTGGCAGATAGTTCAGGTATTCTTTAAAAACAATGACAAACAATGAAATTCCCAACAACCACAGCAACCGCCAAAACAGTGAAATCTACTTAGCTTTTTGGTTGGTGGGAGATGTTGAAAAATATAAGAAATAAAGGCCACCCACAAATAATTTGCCTCACAAAAACAACTGCTCTTAGTATTATATTGTATTTCTGCCCATTTTCTATGCAATTCTATGTCAGAGTTATACTTTATATATACTGCAGTATAGAACTTATACAAGTTATATTAACTTAAATATAACTATGACATAGAGTTACATAGTTTGTATCTTTCAGGCATATTTTAGTCTAGAATACTTTCAGCTATGGTTTTCCATCACTTTTCTGGCGGTTGAACTATATATACTTCTTTTGCTGCTGGGAAATAGAATTTGAAAAAGTTAACTCTGCAAAATCTCATTCTAAAGGACTTTGCAGTTGACCAGGACACTTAAGTGGATTATCCGATTGCATGTCTTCACTTGATTTCCAGGTGGAATGGTTCCAAAGACCTCTAACAGCTTTATCACTCTATAGTATAACTGCCCCTTAATTCTCCTCTAAGCTTTAAGCTCTGAGAGCAAGACTGTATTGTTCACCATTTGCACCCCAGTGACTAGCATGTGACCCACTACATAGAAAATTCGCAATATATTCTTGATGATTGAGTGAATGAAAAAGTGAGTAAATGAATACTAAAATGCTAGAAGATCCATAACTCATCAAGCTTTCTCCTTGGTATCAGGATACAACCCGATTAAGGTTCCCAGAAGTAAAGGATTGATTTAGATTTAGATTTGTCTTGAAAGAGCAGAGAAAGATAGGAATTGATCATCACTTGAACATTCCTTATAGACCCTAAACTCTTTACCTAAAATTCCTATTGTGCTTTAATGCTACAATTTAGCTGTCCCACAAATACTTACAGAAAAGTAATTTTCAACTTTGCTTTCTACAAACTAATTACCTTCTGTAACATCCAGGCCACTGCCACCTACATTTTGGAAGTGTTGGCATCCCAATAAGTGGCATGCCTTATAGGTTTACCATAGGGCTATTATTAAAGAACTAAAACCATGCACATCCTCTTGGACAAAGGATTGGATCACCTTGGGGACCATAAAGGAAAGCTTGCAGACAGTGGTTGAGACAGCAAGACAATGAGAGAGAGTGAGCCAGAGAGCCTGCCAGAAATGTCAGTTTGAAAGAGGGCAAGGAACGCACAAGCAGGTGGTTTCACTCCTCATGAGCCTCCTTATCTTCTTCAGTTTTGCCAGACCTTGGATCTCATCTCATCCAAGTATAAAACTCCTAGTGAACTGAGACATTCTCTGTAAGTAGATGAAAGCTGTTTTCTCTCTTGGCAGTTTATACTTGGTCACGTGATACAACTAGTCATACAGTTTTAAGGCAGCATGCTGTGTACCTCTCTCTCCAAATGCAATTTTACAACATTCTGTGTTTTATTTAAAAAAACCAGTTTAATCTACATTAATTAGAGTGTGAAGCTGAGTGTGGGAAGCTCTAATTTACCTTACATGCATAACAAGAGCAGCACCACCTGTTGACTGCCTACTAAGTGCCTGGCACAGCCTAGGTATGTTATACACATTATTTAATTGAACTTGGAGAACATGCCTGCCTCCAGAAATATAACTTAAATATCTCATTTACTTTGAAATTGCAAATGGCCCTTTCTTTAAGAAACTTACATTAAATTTATTTAGCACTATCCCATTACAGGAGAAAAAAATAACAATAATAAGGCCAGAATTTATAAACACTTTTCTGGTGAGAAACACAAAGATCACTGAGTTTTCCATTCTACACTCTAATCCAATTTTCTTTCTTTCTTTTTTTTTGGCAGTACGCGGGCCTCTCACTCTTGTGGCCTCTCCCGTTGCGGAGCACAGGCTCCGGACGCGCAGGCTCAGCGGCCATGGCTCACGGGCCCAGCCGCTCTGTGGCATGTGGGATCTTCCCGGACCGAGGCACGAACCCGTGGTCCCCTGCATCGGCAGGCGGACTCTCAACCACTGCACCACCAGGGAAGAACCCTCTGAATTTTTAAATCTAATTTTTCTATCCTATTTTCCAACCTAGCTGATAAACTGTCTTCTCTCTTGCCATCTTCCCCAGCAGTGTTTTTTCTTTTGCCACATAATAAGAGAGTTAACTGCTTCCCCTATTCCCAAATTAGAAAACATAAAGGTTAAATAAAAGTGACTTGGACACTGAAGACTTTTTTCCTACATTGAAGTATGAGACTTTGTGGTGAGATAATTGATGAGTTACCCATAATCTTATGTGTGCTCTTTACTCATTGCTTAAGTAAATTTCATCTAATTAAAACTTTCATCATGTTAACTATAATAGATTCCTCGGATGGGTTGAAGTTCTTTTCTTATTGCTTAGTAATGACCTCTATATTCCATAGGAAGGTCTTCAGAAATTTTAAGCATTTATATGAAAGTCGTGGTCCAAATTTCTACTTTTTTTCCCAAGATTAATTGATTCAACAAACATCTATTGAGCACCCTTGTATCAGCAACCCTGGTAGTGGAGTGATAATACAGTAGTGAGCAAAACAGGTACAGTGTTTGCACTACAGAGCTTACAGCCAACTGGAGGGAACAGACACTGAATAATTACAAATATGACAAATGCCATGAAGAAGATGGGCAGGGTGCTATGGGAATATGTAATAGGTGTAGCTAACCTAGCTTGATGGGAGGTGGGGCAGAGAAGATTTTTCCAGAGAAGTTCAAGTTTAGGCTTGAAGCATAAGAAGGAAGAAGAGTTATCTAGATAAGGGAACAGCTTGTGTAAAGGCTCTGAGTAGAAAAGAACACCACCCATTCAAGGACCTGAGAGAAGGTCACTGTGGCTAGAGTGCTGACTTCAGGAAACGTTAGAGAAGAGGCAGGCAAGGACCAGATCACATAGGTCACCCTAAGGATGGGGGACTTTATTCTGAGGGCAGTGGAAAGCCAATGGAAAATTCAAGCCAGGAATTTAAAAAAGTTTTAAGCTTAAAATAGCTAAAATGTAGACTGTAAGAATATATTAATTCACTAATTTGCTCTGGAATATGCTCTCATATCTAGTAGTCCAATAATAGTAAGAATTTTGATAAATGCAGGACAAACTATCTAGGTTTATAATATGTAGAATTTTTCTGTGAATAGAAAAGACCCTAGGATAGTTAAGCAAAGCAGAACAGGACTTGGGTACATGTAAGTACCCACGTAAGCTTTGAAACGTATGTCCTGAGTTTCTTTGCTTTTCATCTATATCACATTTTAACTTGAACTGAAAATAGAAGTGGTAAAATAATAAAGGCAGGGAAAGGAGGAAGGCATGCATGTGTGTATGAGTGTGTGTGCCCACGTGTGGTTTCTTATGGTTTTGAAGAAGAGCAGATTTATGACAATACCAGTATCACATTCTCTGTGCTCAAAAATTGTTGTCTCCCCTGCAGAAATTAGGAAAGGAGAGACTATATAATAGGGAAAGATTTTCTTTTTTTCTTTTAGTGGTGTGTTCTAAGAAAAAAAAATGGCAGCTTCTGGGTAATACAACAGATTTTGCCATGAAATACATTGATTTTAGACTATGGACCCCAAGATGGTTTCAGTAGTACTGTGCTTGGAGTAGTAAAGAGATCCATGAACACCAAGGCCTTTGGACAATATAAAGTGTAAGAGGCTAAGGTTTTAATTTTCTTTTTTAATACTCTTTGGTCTTCCCTATGGGCATTTCTTTTTGTCTTCTTCAGATGGCCTGCATTCATTAAATTAGTAGATAGGATTTTAAGGTGTGGTTCTTTCCCAGAGGTATTTTCTTACTGGGAGTTGAGAGAAATTCTTGAAGATTAATAAGATTTCCGTTAGTAAATATTAGGAGAGTGGAGGAGAGCTAGCTAGCTCTGACTACCATTCTCTGTCACCTCCCTGTCTCCCAAACCAGAAGTTTCTTCTCTTAAATCTTGGACTGCAATGCTTCCTGACCGTTCTGGAGGAGGCTCAGTGACTCCTTCTTAGAAATGAATGAATAAATTCACACTTGGTGAACTGTTTGAGAAAGGCTGCTGACCCTTAGTCTGAGAAATCTTGAGCAACAGGAGACCTCAGTTTAATGTCAATTTGTATCTGTCTCACTATTTGAAGAGAACGAATTACTTACTTGATTCAATCACTTAGCTCCACACCTGAAGTGTAGTAATGAGGAGAACACGGGCCAGCTTCATATACATTGTGTCCTTCAGTACTGCAATTGACAAAGCATTCTCATCAAAACAGAAACACATTAAGTACCTACTGTACACATGACTGGGAAACAATCAGAATATGTAGGTTAAATATGAAAATAAATTAGTGCTTGTTAAGGTTTCATGGAACAGGTGAGATGTGTATTATTATAAAAAGGGAGCAGGTTTACTATGTATTAATTATTAGGCTACCAAAGCTCTGGGTAAATTTGATAGCAATGTTAAGAGTAGCTTCTCGGCAAGTACTTGGTGCCAGGTTGAAAACTGGCCACTGTTTACTTGGGCAGAAATGTGGTTATATTAGGCTGCTTTTAGTGATAAAAGGTTTTTAAAAAGTTTCAACCTTCTGGAATCTGACTCACAATGTCCTGATATTGTGTTCTTTTCTGTATTCAGTGTCATGGATAAAGAATCTATCTTTCAGCACTGAATAAGAATAAATTTGTGTATGCGGTCAGATTTATGAGTATTACAAAGATTAGATAAACTATTATTTAAAAAAATAATTTTATGCTGCAGTAGTTCTAAATTATTAGTTTTAGCTTGATATAAGAGCAGAGGGCAAAAAATAAATTGACGTTCATCAAGTACCAGCGTTGTATGTCAGGCACTCATATAGTCAGTCACCTATATTATCATTAAAGTTCACAGGAAGCCTGTAATAGGTAATGTTTCCATTTTGGTCAAGGAAGAAACTGAACTTCAGAGACTGAGATGGCAGAATTGGGATGCACACTCAGGTCTCCTAGCTTATGGTCTTTCAATAAAATCACTTTGGCATAAACTGAAAAATTTAAGATTATGTAGGATTAAACAAAATGAAACAGCTTCTCATCTATAATTTCTTTTGGTTTAGATGTAATCTTTATCTGTAGGGGGGAAAAGGTGAATAATATTGCAGAAAGGTGCTTGTATTCTACAAATCTGTTGATGGGTTCTAGTAGAAAGAGATGAGATTAGAAAATGTACATTAAGCAATATGTAAATTGGGGGTCATAATTCTCCTGAATCCTATTGATTTTTTAAAGGTATTTTCAAGATGGGCATCAATGTTTTACAATCTGTAAAATTAAATGTTACTATTCTATCTAGTTTGTAGGGACACTAAAGTTATTGAAGAACCTTGAAACATTATTAGGAAACCTGCTATAAAATATAAAGATGGCTTATATGTCTGACCTTCATCTGTGCACTTAAAGCACTTTGTTCTTACCTTAATTTTTGCACCCATAGTATTGCATCCAAATCATGTCTCTATTCTCTGGTATCTCTACCAGAAGGTGGGTTCCTCCAAGACAGGGACCATGTCTCTTCCATGGTAGTATCCATAGTAACCTGGACAGTGTCTGAAATATAATAAATGCTCAGTAATGTTTATCAAACAAACAACACAACAAAAGGATTCATTTTTTCCAACCCCAGTTTCCTTATCTCCAAAATGAGAAGGTACTAATAGTTTTCTAGATCGTCAGGCGGGACATGATATATGCTCATATACTGTTGATTGGAGATATAAGGCACAGACATAAAAAGTGTTATTAGGATGATTACTAAGGGGGTGGTTATTTCACACAACATAAACTTTTATTCTGTTTAAGATCTTTTAAAAAAAATCTAACCAATAAATTTCAGGAAGAAAATCTAAGGTATTTTAGGTAATATGTAGTCATAATCTCCATCCTTGGGCTCTCAGGGTTGAAGAAAAGCCAGATCCTAAACCAGAGATGAGAACAATCTTTCACTAGGTGGCTCTCTTTCCCATGAGTGGGCGGCCCCTCGGTGGGTGGAGGGACGACACGGGGCAATGTACAGCTGCAATCACCGCGTGTCACACTGCATCACAGTAGGCGCATGCAGCACGAGGGGCATAGTTCAGTTTCTATGTCGTTAATGATAATCTGTCCTTGGGATTTGTTTCAAAGCAGCTTGTACTTTCATTTCCTCCAAACCTACCCATAGACGTTGGCCCAGTCTTTTAATAGGTGCGGTCTCAGAGAAGGATTTTGATAGCGCCTTTTCACCTAGCATGAAAGACAAAAGGAATCAGGTACCCCGACCGAGCCAAACCAAAATAGCCCATTAAAATTATGATTTTAACTGTCCAGTGAGGGCTGCATTCCTGGAGGGGTTTATACCGTTATACATCCTAAAGTACTTTGGGACAGCTGTTTAAACGCCTCCACAATACGAATGGAAAATATAATTTGTAAAATGTCAAATAATTCTTTCAAACCACTAACACGACGACTTCTCCAGCTACTTTTCACACACTCATTATTATTGAGCCCATTTACGTTATTCTGCTTTTTTAGCCTCAAACATGAGACAAAATACACATAATAAACATTCAAAAAGATTTGTTCTAAGAATGAAAATCCTTTTCCTGGAAGCCTTTCATAGGAACTTCGCTCAAGTATCTAGGTTTTTCTTGATACTATTTTACCCAATGTTTTCCTCTCCAACCCAAAAGATACATAGTGACAAGTTCTAAAATACTACGAACGCCTGAGAGAAGGAGGAAGTTTGCGAAGGAGAAAGGAACTCGGAGGTCTGTTTTTGATAAGAAAGGGGGACTCACACTGGGGGGTGCCTCTCAGAGGGATGGCGGTCGTGAGCATCTCGCCACGTCCCCTAAGCGCTGAAAAATCACTTGTTAGCCTTCCAAGATGAGTTCCCACTCTCACGCTGGCCTCCTCGCGGCAGGAGGTGGCTAGTGAAGGCCGCGTGGGGGGCTCGCAGGAGGCTAGGTCGCCGAGAGTGTGTGTGGGGTGGGGTTTGGGGGATTTCAGTAAGGGGTCGACCCGCCGGGGAGAGTCGTATGTCCCCGTCAGCAGAAAAGGGATCTCGGCAGTCGTGTGCCGTTCTCCTCCCTCAGGGACCCCGTCCTGGCGGGACCCCGCCTCCCAGTGCCGGGGGCGGTTGTGGGGAAACCCCTCGCCCGCCTCGCAGCCTAGCGCCGCCGCCTCGCCTAGCCTGCTCCAGCCCGCCGCCCACCAGCCTTCAGGCCCAGCATCTTCTGCGTAGGCCCAGCCCTCCCCAAGCCCGGCACGGAGTGGAAAACTATGGAGGTGGTTCCCGCCCGCAGGCGGGTGGAAAAGCCCATGGTGAATGCCTCGGGGTCTCCCCCATTGCTGCGGGAAAGGGAAAGGGAGGAGAAAATGAACTTCTCCGCGCAGGAGAACTACCCGGATTCCCAACCTGGGGGAGGCCCTTAGATGGAAGGGAAGCCAGGGGGAACCCTGGGCACTTTTCGGGGAATCCACTCGCCAAGGGAGGGTCATTCTGTCTGCACACATTGGTTACTATGACAATACAACTACAGCCTCCAGTTGCCTTTGCAGCTGCTTATCCAATCCGATTGGTTTCTTTTCTCTTCATCCCTGGGCTCCACCCTATCCCCTCCAACAGCCTCCCTGCGTGCAGGGGGTGGGGCCACAGAAAAGAGGAGGGGGTCCTTAGCTTCACTCTAGGGCGCGAGGGCAGGCCAGAGACAAGGGACTGGCGGCCGGAACTGTAGGAGGAAGGGGCGTCGTTTCCGGTAGGGAAGAGTGGAGGAGTGGAAAAAGGAAGAGAGAAATCGGGTGGAGTGCAAAGACGGGGGAAGACTTTGAGTGTAACTCCCGGTTGATTGGAGCTCGATGTTCCCGGTGAGGCTGGGGTTGCCCCCTTGCGCGGGAGAAGCTGGGTGGATTGGCCGGAAGCCGCCAATCGCCTCCAGTGGGCCGCTCAGCAGCCGCACAGGCGCCCCACCACTAACTGATCCCAAGAAGGAGCGCTACAGAGAGGCGGAAATCACCCGGAGTGACCGGCGCCGCTGAAATCTCGCGAGAGAGACCCCACTTCCTTCCTCTGCTTCTCCCTCCTCTTTACCCCGCCCCTATCCCTTCTCCCTCCCCCTCCCCCCTCCCGGGTCGGAGTGTCCCTGAGCCCCACGGGCCGGAGAAGCAGCGAGAGCAGCTATCCCCGCTCCCTCCCCCTCGCCTCACTCACCCCCAACCCCCGCTGAGCGAGGAGGAGCCGGAGGAGAGGAAGATGGCGGCGGCCGCCAGCACCCGCGGTGCCGTGGGGCCGCTCCGAGGAGCCTGAGAGACCCACAGAGGCTTCGCGGGAAGACGCGGCGGCGGAGGATGAGCCTGCAGAGCGCGCAGTATCTCCGGTGAGTGCCGAGCCCGGCCCGGTACGTAGCGGGGAGCGGGCCGAAGGTTGGGGCATGGAGCAACAGACACAGAGGTGGTATGTCCGGGGTGGCGGGGGAGTTGCTGTGTTCTCTCCTTCCCGGGCAGGGAGGCGGGGGCTGCGAGGATCAGCGGGAGGGGGCGGAGCAGGCACACACTTGGGTGCCTAGCCCCCGCGAGCAGGACTGAGTTCCAGCGGAGCCGGCTAGTCTCGGTGCGGAGAAGGAGGTTAGGGAAGCGTGAGAATGTGTGTGTGCGCGCGCCCCGGGTCGCGGGCTCTCTAGTGAGGGTTGGGGGGAGGCGGCGGCGACCCGGAGTGGAGGTGGGTGTGGAGGTGTCTGATCCCGGTGGCGGGGAAACGTGGTGTGTGGGATTGACTGGAGCGATGAATGGGGAGAAGACAAGGTGGAAGTCTGCACACCTGGGGTGTGTGTGGGGCCGGGGAGGGAGGACTAGCGGAGGGGGAGACTGCAGGAAGCTGGAGTTTGTTCTTCATTCTGGGGTTGGAAGTACTGAGGAATAATGTCATCTGTAGTTAGTTGGCGGAGTGCGGGTGGAGGGCATAAAGAAGGGAATGGGTGAGGAAGTGAGGAAAGAAGGAGGCACTACGGATGCGGTTGGGTTCCCCCGAAGAAACTGGGTTAGAATCAGTGCAGTCGGGAGATACCATTCTAAGAGTCGTGTGGATTCATTAGAGTGGTGTAAGGAACTTGTATGTCGAGGTAGAGTGACGTATGGGTGCAGAGTGAGAAAGTATGTGATGTGTATCTGGGGAGGGTTAAGGGGGCGATTGACACACATTGTAGGAGGAAGAAGATGCAGACACATTGGAACCAAGTACATGGTGGCGAGAGCATATTGCACCAGCTATTGTGCAGCTAGGAAGGTTCCATGGATGCAGAATAAGAGCTTGGAGGTAGAGGTAAACGAGGGTCAAAATCTTGATGACAGAGAAAAATAAGATTGTCAGAGCCTGGGATTAATTGGGGAGTTGCCACTGCTTAGAAAAGGGGAAAGAAGATCCAGAAACGGGTCCTTTTTGTCTTTCAGTAGCAGAACTAAGAAGGGCAGGTGTATGGGAAAATGATTTTAAAAGTGGTTTCATACCTTGTGGAGGAGAGAATTGGACGGGGTAGAAGTCTGAAATGAGCAGAAAAGTCACTTTAGCTGTTTAGTGAAGTGAAAGTATTGATATGTGAGTGGATCCCTGCATGTATGTTTCAAGAGAAGGTTTGTAGTTAGGTGATACATGAGGGTAGCTATTCTGCTTTTGAAAGTAGTAATCGTTTTATTAAGCAGTGTGTGTAGAGGAGGGAATGATGAGATCTTTCAAGTATGGTGGAATGCCTGAGTTTAATAACACACATCATGTATACTCAATAACTGTACAGTGGGCAGTTGGAATGATACCTGTATATCGAAGTCCTTTTTCTCCTTTATTATCCCTTTGTTGTTTAACATATCAGATAAGCTTAATAAATACAACTGTGGCAAAGGTGTATGATAGATGCTATAGAGAGGAGATATGGAAACTATCAGGACAGTCCTTAATTTTAAGGAATTTGCAGATTAGTATATATTAGGAAAGTAAAATATGGTAAGGATCATGAAAGATGCCAGTTTTATAAGAGTCCAAAGGCAAGAGATTACCTGAGCAATTGAGATGAATCAGGAAAAGTTTCCTTTGTTTATTTTCTCATTCATACACATGATTCATCAGTCATTTTGTTGATCACCTATATGGGAGGCATTATAATAACTTTTGAGAGTAGAAAAGTGAGAACTCCACCCTCCTCTTGCAGAGTTTACAGTTTGTTAGGCTTCAAGAAGAAAATGGCACTTAAAATGGACCTTAAGGGTAAACAGTATTCTGAGAAGTGTGTATTGAGAAGGAGGAGTCCAAATGTAAGGAAACTGAGCAGAGATATATGGAAAGGAGAGTTGGGTGCTGGGGGAGGTATTCAGTCCAGTTAAACAAGAATGTTAGGTGATGCAGCTGGAAAAACTTGAGAGTTTCATATCTTATTAAGTTTGACCCCCTTCTTTTTACAGATGAAGAAAGTATAGCCCAAAGAAGTTAAAATTGTTGAGGATCATATAGTTGGTATGTGGAAGCTCTAACTCAAATGTAGGTCTTCTAACTCCAGATCAGCTATACTGTGTGACATCCATTCTTTCCACAGGTATGGCTTGAGAGCTTACTGTATTCTAGGCACTGAGGATTCAGTGGTGAACCAAAGAGTGAACATAGGAAAGTATTTTCTAATAGAAGGATACAACAAATGAACATATGAACAGATAAATACGTTTACCAGGTGGTGACAAAGTACTAGGAAGAGAAATAAAGCAAGATAGGGATGTGCTGTTTTTTATAAACAAGCGTGGTCAGGGAAAGCCTATTTGATTAGGTGCCCATATTTGAGAGTATCTTGAATATTATGGTCTGTAGTTTATGGTTAAAATGGGTGGACAGTGGAGAATCTGAGATGATTTGTTTAGAAGGGAAATCACATGTTCATGGCTATGTATTAGGAAGATGAATCTGTGTAGTGGGCAGTTAAGGGTTAGAAATAAGGTGGTAGCAGTGGGACTGGAAAGGTATAATGAAAAGCAGATTGGGAGAGTGGTGGTATTTTTTTTTTTTTGAGTGGTGGTATTTTTAATGGGAAGATCAGTTGGCTTTGAGAGGCTTCTGTGTTAATGTATCTCATGTTTTTAAAGTTAGCATGGTAAGGAAGACTTACCCTTAGGTTGCGGAATCAGTAGTAGACACCTTGAGATGAATTTAGTTCATTGAAGGAGGGAGAAACGAATAAGAATGAACACAATGTTTAGCCTAAATTTTCCAGCTAAAGTTGAATAGGCAAAACTGAACAGGCATAGGACCTGGAATCACTTAAAAATTCCTGAGAGCCAGGCTTTTCTCAATCTTGTTCATCTATCCTAAGTAAATAAAGCAAGTCTTAGGGCTAATAGTAGTCTGAGGCTAATGGGAAGAGATAATAAAGTACGGCTTGCACCAGCCAGAATTTCCCTCTTTCTCTTCTTTAGATAATCATTCCAGTAAAGTGCTGTGAGTAACTAGTGGTTACCAGTGGGGATGGAGTGGGGTGCAGTATAGGGGTGGAAGAGTGGGAGGTACAAACTATTGGGTGTAAGACAGGCTCAAGGATGTATTGTACAACATGGGGAATATAGCCAATATTTTGTAATTACTGTAAATGGAAAGTAACCTTTAAAAATTGTATTAAAAATTAAAAAATAAAGTCTGCTGTGAGAGACTAGAGACTATGTTCAGGGAAGCATTATGTTCACTTTCTTTTCTTTGATGCCTATGGAACCATTGGTTTTTATAGACAACCCAGGGAGAATGCTGGGTATTGCTGAGTGAGCGTGGTTGGGGGTATAGCAGTTTTTCTTTGTGACTTTCACTTTAGGAAGAGTTTTGTTGTCTACCTTTGTCAGTGGTGTACAACCAGGACTGGGCAATTTTTAGACTGCATAGCTACAGATCTTCCCTCATGTAGATGGAAATTAGTTTTGTCTCAGCTGAATTAATTTCTTAGAGTAAATGAGCTGGGGTGTCTGGTGTTGAAATGGGGTGGTAAGATGGCAGTTTCAAAAGAGTGAGAAATGAGGATGTGCAGTAAGAAGCATCAGTAAGACAAAGAAAGAGGGAATTCAACAGCAAGGGGACTGAATTGGTCTTGACTTGTAGAAGTAGAGCATAGATGAAAGGAGAGGAAACCTATCCTCTGGATGGGTGATGTTCTGGGCAAGAAAGGATGATGAAATTTTTTTGTTAGAAGGGGAGTGTCATTTTTTGAAATAGGAGACCCAATAAGACTCCTATCCAAATGATTAAGTTGAGAATACTTTCTTATATTTTATAAAAATAAGAAATGGTCTTAAATTTGGGGCTTCTAGACTGTATAACATTGGAAATATAATACTCGGATTGAAGAAAATTTCAGTGTTTTCTCTTTTGATTTATGATAAAATGGAAAGATTTGTAAAGACTTGGACATCTTTGTTGAGTAAAAGAATAGGGTGTATTGAATATAGTTCACTTGAGAAGGGTGGAAGAAGGGTGAGGCCATAGAGAAGATAGTAGGTGAGGTATAATTTCATGCTTTAAGAGAATAGCACTTGAAAGAATAGAAATATGGAAATTAACATGTCAAAGTTGGAAAAATGGTGGGGGAAGTATTGAAGTACCATACAGGAAAGGTATCATTGAAGTTGTTTTGGAAGATGAGATAGTGGAATAATCATAGCCATAGGGAATACCAAACAGGTCAAATCTGATGGTACAAGGTGGCACCGGTGCCACTGAATGACATCTGCTGTGACTGTGGGAGGCAACTGTTCATACTCCCCTCCCTCTTTCCTCCAGTGTTCTCCTCTTTTTATCTTTAATTTCTTTTTATGCTGAAGGTTTTCCTGTGGGATCCACTTGAAGTTGATCCCTGGCGTTAGACCACTGACAGGAAAGGCCTACAAATCGTCTGTTCTGTTAGAAATTTTTTGCATGATACCTCTATGGGTGGAGAGGTGCATTCCAGTTGCACATTTCTTTGTCAGAAACTTTGTTACCAGAAGTAGAATATAACATCCACAAGGTTGTTTTTCTGAGACAGCAGAAAAATGGCTGTCATTTAAGTACTAATTAAAATATCCAGTATATTGTAAGGTAAAATATGTCACTGTAAATCTTGAGACAGAGGGAGGTAAAGGGAGGGGATGAGACTGGATAAATTAACAAGCAGAGTCTTATTGTAGCCTGGGGAGGCGAACAAGGTCATGGGATCATTTGGGAGAAATAAATATACTAAATAGGGTGGGCTCCAGGTTCTGGAAGAATCTGGTAATGCTGGACTGGATATTCACTGTTGCTAGAAGCTTCAAGAAGTCCTATAGCACACACTGATATTAATTCACATGGTTGAGAAGTCGCCCCCTGACCCATCCAGCCCCCTCC